CTATCTTGTTTCTTCATATGTATGAACAAAACAATTTGAAAGGTTACTTTGAGTGAGCTTCATTGCAGCTAATAAGGTTTGTTTATGCATTTTACTTAATGTATCGCAAGTAGCATAAGGCAGACAATTAAAATAAACCTGTTGTGTAGTTTTTGCAAAAGAGAAGTTTTATTAAAAATAAATAGAATTAAAAGCATTTAAGATGAATAAATAAGAAAATCAAAGTATCAGGAACAGTAAAGGTTTCTATTTGATTCAAAAGCACAGTATAATACTGTGTCAGTTATTTTATCTGCTTCATAAGAATACTTCATTAATTCATATGAAATGTTTAATTCATTCCAGCCAAAAGCTAAACACTTATAAGTTCCATTGCTTTAGTAAATGGTTCCCTCTCCCATTGAAAACAATAGAAGTTTGTCCTGATCATGCTCTGAATTAAAGAGATGGTTATGCAACACTATATTCATTTTCACATGATTATGAATTGCTGAGTTTAGTATAATTGTCTTGAGATTATGAAGCAATTATGCAGCAGTAGCAGCTTTTTGTGTTCATGTTTGTATAGCCTTTCATATTTTTAATAATTTTGCTGGTGACAGTGTACTCTATTATGGTTACTGTCTTGTATAGAGTTAGCCTCTGAGTTAAAACCTGCGTGACCGCATCTCCATCTACGAACCCACACGCTCGCTTTGATCATCTGGGGAGGCCCTGCTCGTGATCCCACCTACGTCGCAAGCGCGCTTGGTGGGGACACGGGACAGGGCTTTCTCTGTGGCGGCCCCCCGACTTTGGAACGCCCTCCCAAAAGATCTCCAACAGGCCCCTACTCTAGCTGTTTTCAGAAGGAATCTAAAAACATGGCTGTTCCGTTGTGCCTTCTCAGACTAGGAATCCCCACCCCAAGTCCTAGTAGCACCTTAGTATAACTAATCGTCGCTGCACACCGCACTTTTAATCCTACGTGCCTCCTGCCATTTCAGCACTTTTAACCCTTGTACCCCATTGCGCCGGCCGAACCAGTTTTAATAATGTCTTGATGTACTGCCATTGTTGTTATTTTGCTTATTGTTTGATTTGCTTGTTATTGTTGTGCTATGTTTTCTACTGTATTGTGTCTTGAGGCTTCGGCCTGTGTAAGCCGCATCGAGTCCTTCGGGAGATGCTAGCGGGGTACAAATAAAGTTAATAATAATAATAATAATAATAATAATAATAATAAAATGTGTAAAATTCAACTATTTGGCCTTTTCTGCTATCTTTGCCATGTTACTCTCTTAAATTGTCATCGTAATGACGCTTCTATTATATATCTTTAATTTTAAGGACTTTTAAAATAACTTGAATGTAGTTTGTTGCATATGACATAGGCCCCATCTACACTACCATATAATCCAGTTTTTGAATGCAAATGGTAGTGTTGACTCATATAATCAAAGCAGTGAATCTGCATTCTGAAACCGAATTCTCTGACAGTGTAGATCCAGCCACGGTGAGCATCAGAATTTTCACGTGTGTTTGTGATGCAGTCATTGCAGAAATTTGAGTACCGATCAATATTTTGTAATTTGGTTCCATGTACTACAGATAATAAGAAAGCACTATAAATTTCAAAGTTTATTTCAAGAGTTTTTTCAGTAAACTAAGGATATTTTTCTGGTTTTCTGTCATTGGCTAAAATGAAGATTGAATTTATATGAAAAAATCTTTCCTAATCCACTCATCTAGCTATTCCTTATCATTGAAAAATTGTTGGACTAGTTTAGTGGCGCAGTGGGTTAAAGCACTGAGCTTGTTGACCGAAAGGTCGCAGGTTCGATTCCGGGGAATGGCGTGAGCGTCCGCTGTCAGCCCTAGCTTCTGCCAACCTAGCAGTTCGAAATCATGCAAATGTGAGTTGATCAATAGGTACCGCTCCGGCGGGAAGGTAACGGCGCTCCATGCAGTCACGCCGGCCACATGACCTTGGAGGTGTCTACAGACAACTCCGGCTCTTCGGCTTAGAAATGGAGATGAGCACCAGACCCCAGAGTCAGACATGACTGGACTTAACCTAGTTTACCTAGTTTAGTGAACACAATAAGCCATGGATCTCTGGGGACATAGTTTCCAAGTAGCATACTGGTGCACACTGTCTGGAGAAGCTAAATAGATCAGGGAGTATTGCTCTGTGAAATATTTAGCATGGTGTCTTAAAATGGGTACAGTTTCTTCCCTAATTTCCATTTTTACTAACAAACTAGTTTGCCTTAGGCTTCTTTCTCCCAACTGTTGCAAGAAAAGAAAACTAGAGAGGAAAGTGCACCCATAAACTACCATAAGGAAACAATAAACTATCATAAGTAAACAATATAGTGAACCACACCAGCTGTGATGCTTGTTACAAGCCCTGCTGACCAACTGACTTGCAGTTCCTTGACTTGTTGAGTTCTCTGAATTGGGCCATTGTTTTGTGAAAGGGCTTCATTTGGTACCTTGCTGCCAGTATATTTATAAAGCAGAAGGCTAAAACACAAGTTGTTGCCATGCCATGAACAGGAAAGGAAAATTTTGAGTTGTTTTATCAAACATTTTATTTGGCCAACCTCTTAGTTAAAGGGAATTGAAATACTCCACAGAAACCACTTGTGCAGTTTTAGGACCCTTCTACGCTGTCATACAATCTACATTGTCTGTTTTGAACTGGATTATATTAGTCTTAACTGTCATATAATCCCTTTCAAAGCAGATAATTTTGATTATTTGGAAGTGTAGAAGGGGCCTGAGGACCTATCTACACTGGTAAAAATCTCTGGAAGAACTGGATTTTGTTCCTACCCCAATCCAAACCCCAGGTTTTCTCTCAGGGGATGGTATCCAGCCTCACCAACCCCCATTTCCCACAAAAAAATTTACCTGAGGGGCCTGCTGGCAGCCCGCCCCCTTCACTCCCACTTTCTGATGTGTCTTTTTTGTGTGGCAGGAGTATTCTGCTGGCAGGCCCCACAGGTAAGTTTTTTTAGGGGCCCAAAGAACAGGATGGCTGTGGGGATTAGCAGTCCCAGAAGTCAGTCCCCACAGGGCCCACACCTGGAAAGATCCAGACCTTAGCTTAACGTCTGGCTCTTTCCAGGCATTTTATTAATTCAGAGCAAACTGGGAAATTCCACTTTTCTCCCAATTAATTCATTTTACCTGAGGTGTCATTTGGACATCTACGGTAAAACCAAGACAGGTTCCAGTATATGCCTGGAAGGGTCCTGAGTCTCTTGCTTTGCCTACCTTATCCTCCAGAAATCAATAGTTGTATGTAATATAAACACAAGAGAAGTGAGACCAGTGCGCTTCAAACATATGTATGAACACACAAGAGCTACATGGACAGCGGGGATGATTACTTGCATATAATCCCCATTCCCTGAATGCCCCCATACACTTGACAACATTAGAGATTTTTATCTCTTGAATGTGAAATTCTACGGAGGGATATTTCCCACTATTGTAGAGCTCCTGCAATCATATACCCTATAAGGGAGAACTCTTTATAATATATTCTTTGTGCACTCTTTTATAAACTTTATTCATGTGTGAAGACATTGTGGAAGCAATGTTGTAATTTGCCTCAAGCCGTGAGGAGCTGTGGGTAAGAAATACATTTACTACTACTACTACTACTACTACTACTACTACTACTACTATTTTCGTATCCTCATCCCCACAATTTATTTAGATCTCTCCATGTTCTGGCAAACACTTAAACAAAGCTACAGAGAACAAAAATCTGTAAAAGTACATAATGACATAAGGAACTGGCACTCAAACAAAGCTGTGTGCCCATATTGATAGGGTTTTCCATTTCTGGTGGGCAGTCTTTGGTGAATAAGCTATTAGGACCAGTTAGGTCAGGTGTCCAAGTGATCAGGTTGGATTAGAAAAGTGTTTCTCAAACTTTGCTCCTCCAGGTGTTTCGGACTTCAGCTTCCAGAAATCCCCACCAGTTTACCAGCTCTTAGGAGTTGCGAGAGCTGAAGGAGCACAGTTTGAGAAACACTGGATTAGAAGATGAGAGAAATTAATGGAAGGTGCAGATTACGTTGGAAGCAGTAGACAAACACTAAAGGAGCCAAGGGCAAGAAAAGTACCCCACAGGCAGTGGTCTTCAAAAGACTGCAGCTGAAGCTCTTAAGATGTATGTGGCAAGGTCCTGGAAGACAAATAAACAATGAAATGCAATGTAAGTTAGACTTTAGTGCTCTGTAGACTAGGTTTTGCTCATCTGGGACCATTAGCCAGGGATAATAGGTTGTACTTTAAAAGATCTAGGCTCATCAGCTGCTGAAAGAGGTTACTGCAGAGTGACAGTCTCAGGATCAGATGTACAAAAGGAGAGAATATTTGCCAAATCCTTGAGCAAATGCATAAAATTTACTGAGCAAATAACCTGCAATAATTTTCTAACCATTTTTACACATGTGTTGTGGAGCAGCCACAGCTGCTTCTATGTGGTACCATAATTGCCTAATTTGATGCCACTGACATTTTATATACTAGTGGTTATAGAAATATGGCCTTCCACATGCTGTTGGACTGTAGCTTTCATCAGCCATAGTCAACATATCCAATGATGTGGGGTGATGGAAGCTGTAGTCCAACATTTTTTCCATTTACACTCAGTCATCTCTTTTCATGGAGGTCCTAAATAGTGCTTGCTTTCCTTCTATTTCATGTAATATTTCCCAAGAATTCAATATTCATTATAATAACTATGCTTTGTCTTTTCAGGTTAGATGTGACATTCTGAAAAAAATGGGTCTGGCATTTACATGTAATCATTTTTGAGTGCACTCTTTCTTTGTGGTGATTTGAAGATATAACATAAAGATATTTGACATAACAGTATCCACTCCTAAAATAATAATATAGTTTGAAGCTGAAATTAGCTGAACTTACTGTTTTCTTGGAGCCATTTTACAGTGTTTAAGTATATAGTAATTAATCATGTTTTCATTTTCTTTCAGATACACTAACCTCTCAGAAACCAAGTGATTAAGAAGAGGAGGTGAGACTTGGGCTGTCCTGGCTTACTCTACCTGTACATTAAACAAAGGTAAACTTTTTTTCAGCTCCTAGGAAAAAGCCAGTTTGAGAATTATTATTTCATAGATATATTGTATTAGAAAACAGGTGGCCTTTTTCAAGAGTTTATTTGAGGAGGGCAGGTGCAGTTTAGCATAACATATTTGTGTTAACTGTATGCAGGACTGGATATTGTGGTTGATGTTCCTGTGTACATCAATGTCAGTAGTGGGTCTGTGGGGACCAACTTCCGGGTTCGTGTGCTTCGACACAGGGGGTGAGTACCCACAGCCATCCTACATTCCAGAGACAGGGCCCCACACTGCTCTGAGCGGCATGAGAGCTTTATTAAACTGTTAAATCAAAACTGAAATCTAGTGTTTATGGTCAATTGGTGTTTTAAAAGCAATAATGTTAGTTACTTCCCATTTAAGTATAGCTAGCTATGTCGGAACATATTGGCCAGAATCCAGTATCGCCCTCTATGTAACATAACTTTACATCTAACTGCATCGAAGAAGTGTTGCTGAATGGCAAAGGCAGTAAAGATACATCAACATGAGTTATAAATGTTACTTAAATGATTTTAAAGTAGATACAATTGATTTTAGTGTTGCATATATTTATAGTTATTTTATGTTCTGGCATGGATCGCTTGCCATATATATGCCCTGAGTCCCCTTCAGGGTAAAAAGGGTGGAATATAAATGTTTCAAATAAATAATAAAATATCAATCCCCTTCTCCAGTATGCTATTACATATTGGTGTCCTGATTTGCATCAATGTACATCTATTACTTTTTTAATGTAACATTTTAAGCTTTGGGCTTTTTCCATCCGAGCTTACTTGTCTGAACGTATCTCCCTCTATGAACCATCTCAAAGGTTAAGATCATCCAGGGAGTTCTTGCTCTTAGTCCCACCTCCCTTGCAGGTGCGACTGGTGAGGATGAGAGATGTGGCCTTCTCAGCGATGGCTCCTCAGCTATGGAACTCCCCAACAAAATTAGATCAGTGCCCTCCCTCCCAGCCTTCAGGAAAAAAAGTAAAAATTTGGCTATGGGACCAAGCCTTTGGGCAGTAAGCAATACAAATAATGATCAGGGATTATGTGCAATTGATATTTAATACTTGGAATGCCCTAGACTACAATTTTTGGATTATATGGTTTTAACATTTATATTAATATATTTTTAACTCCACACTGTAATGTTCAAAAGTTGTTACGTTTTAATGATCCAATTGATAGTTATATGTTATTATTGTTGTTTTATGCTAGGTTTTATATGTATGTGAGGCATTAAATTTTGCCATAAATATGTTGGAAACTGCTTCTAGTGTCCCCTCCCCCTCAGGGTGAAAAAGCAGTATACAAGTTAAATAAATAAATATTATCCATATTGGAGAATAAAGACGCTCATTTTTTATTTTTCAGAATTATTGATAATGGAGAGAAATTACTTATGCAAAAGCAGGATCGCTTACTATTTATGTGCAACAAGTGTCCCATTGGAAATTCAGTCTCTCTCACCCAACCTTCCAATGCACAAATAGTTTACACAATTCCCAATTTGAAAAAAGTAACCTGTGTATTTTGGAAGCAACACTATGAACAGAAGCACATACAATTTTGTTTATACAAGCCATCTTGAATGGTATGTGCTACGGTGTAAGTTATATATTTCTTCATAAATAAAATCAATAAATGACACTTGTTGGAGATCAGCGTGAGACTCCTGAGGCTGATGGGTTCACTGATGATTTAGAGAGGATTGTGGGATTGCCTGTGGGATTTCCTGGGGCTTTACGTGATGAAGATTCAAGTCAGGGGAATGATGCTTCTTTCTCTCTGAGAAATCTGATTTGGAAAGTCCAGGACTTCCAAGGTCACTCAGAGGAGCCAGAAACTACAGCCGGAAAAAAGGAGTCGAGTGAAGAGATAAGTGATACAAAAGGTTCTCAGGAGAAAACACCTATAGTTACTGAAATCAACAAAGGTCTTCATTTACCGATCAGAGTAGACAATAGGCATCGTTCATGTGGGAAAGTTGGGGGAAGATTTAGTGGGAAAAACATGACTTCATGGGTGCCTATTCATTAGCAAGTTGTTTACCTAAGAGTTAGTTCAGGCAACACAGTGTTCAAGTGTGAAGCTAGGCCCGAGTTCTCTGCTTCTTGTCTCAAGTTGAGCCTTGGTTTTGGATGTAAGTTTCCTGGAAATTTTCTATGTTCTTGTCTTTATATTCCTGCTCAAATTTTACTAAGTATATTTTTGCTTGTGGAGTTATGCTATACTTTTGATTTTTTGGCTATTCCTGGACTGTTTTGCCTTGGGATCTGATTAAGACATTTGAATTATTGTTTGATTATCACCTATTGCTAACCCTTTTTTGGATTATACATCTTCTTTCTTTATTCCTAATTTTTCGTATACTTTATGTGTTTTTACTAGGGCTGGGCGGTTTCGTTTCGTTAATTCGTAATTCGTTAATAATTCGTTAATTTTTTCAATTACAAAACGATAACGAACCATTCTGGAGCAATTATTAAAAAAACGAATTTTCAAAAACGTTTTGTAAATGCTTCGTATTTCGATATTGTATTCGTTTCGTTATTGTTTTGAGGTCGTTTCGTTATTATTTCCGCATGTCTGGGCCAGTTTTATGGTTTAATTAGTGAAAAAAAATTATAATATCACACCAACAGTCAACAACAGAGGGAGAGGGAAGCTTCAAAGGTTTTGGAGGTTTTTTAGCGTATTTCGCGGTCGCGTCCGCCATTAACGAATCGATTCGTTATTGTTTCGGAAATCGATTCGTTAATTTTTTACCATTTACGAAATTTCGTAAATATCGAACTTTTTAAAAGGAAAATTTTGTAATTATTTTAAATATCGAAACAAAAAAATCCCCCAAATACAAATCGATTTTAGAAACAAATTTTTCCGTTGTTACCCAGGCCTAGTTTTTACTATAAACTGTTTGCTTATACTCTGGACTCTAGTGTGGTGCTGTGGTCATAGGTGTTTCCAGACCTGGGGTGCAGCAACACCAATGTATTTTGGAAGTCTCTCATCAAAAAAGAGGGAAAGTAAGACTATATCATGTTCTTTTAATAATGTTCCATGCCTGTTTCATGATTGTGGTTTCTTTTATTCTTTTGCTACCAACTGTATGTTAGTATGATAGCAAGATGGCATTAAACACAAAACATTAAGAAGAAAGAGGAGGAGGAATTATTCCACAGACGCATTGTAATTTCTACGTGTGCACAGGATTTTGTGGCTAAGGAACATAAATACTTAAGTAATTTCAAGCTCAATGATTTCAATTACTCACATTTTATACTCCGAAGCTTATGGACTGAAGCCTTTTCTTAACAGAAGATAACAGGTGTATCCAGACTAGTTAACCAATATTATAGAGTATGACAAATATTGGGAAAGGAATCCTTGGCATATTGTGCCAGCTTTCCAAACTGTGAAGAACTTATAGTTATTATTATAATAAATTCAATAATAATTTTAACCATAGTTTGATCATTAGCATTTCTATTATGTTGAAAGGTTCCTCTTTTTAAATTGGGGGAAATAAACTCAAAGCACATATTTTGAAGCAAACATTGAATTATGCATAGCCATCCACATTTGCTAAACAAGCACAAAATGAATAGTAACTGTAGAAATTTACATTATTTCAAAATCAGTTAATCATTGAGCACTGAAAGGTTAGCTTTAGGTTACAACACATGTAGTCAACTCACCCACCTGTAATGGTCATTCTATCTGGGAATTATAATCCCAAAAAACAATTACTTAAACCTTTGGATAACCAATTGACCAGGAGATCTTTTATGACTATCAAACAATAAAAAATTGTTGTTGTACTCCAGACTAATTTATAAAGAAGCATAGATGTAAACAGAAGAGCCCAAACAATGGGTACTGAATGTCTAGCTTTATCACTTTATGATATTCATGAACTCAGTATTTTCAATACATTTGGAAGCCGTCAATTAAAACTTTTTATAGGAATGCTTGTAGACAGAAATAATTAAAGGATTTTTCTTATATTCTTACCCTCAGATATTAAGCCTCACTAGCCATCAAAAGCCTTCAGGAACCTTATAATGGACCATTTCCTTCTAGTCTTGTCTCCTAGTATTTGGGTTTTGTTCCCAGAGGAAATCCTTTAATAGCTTTTCAGAGCTGAGAATTAATTTCTTTAAAGCTTGTAAAAGCAAAGTACTTTGAGGTCTTGGTTTCCCATGCCAAACTGCCACTCTAAAATGCTATTTACTTAATGTGGCTGCATGAATAATTATTTGCTCTCTGTAGATTGGCTCAAAACAACTGCAAAAAATTGAGAAAGAGTGGAGTTTCTCTGCTGCGGAAGATCAGTTTGCTTATTTCTAAATGGGTCAAAAAGACAAAAAGACTAGAGAACTTCCCAAGAATATGAGAGAAAAACATGGCAGATGGAAGAAGTTTTAAATGCCACAAAATTGTCCAAGCAGCTCATAGTTAAGCACTCCCCAAGCAACTCATAGTGCAGGTATAAAGGATTTGAAGGAGAAAAAGGAAAAGGAAACCTTTACTGTAAGGGGGGGGGTGTCACATCCCACCTGCTGACACCAGTATACAGGAATGGAAGGAACCTTACAGTGTCACACACTGTTACAGATCAATCCTGCCTCTGCCACATGTATAAAAGAATCTTTACCCGGTATCAAAGCTCTACACAGGGTTAATATATATATATATATATATATATATATATATATATATATATGTATGTATGTATGTATATATGTATATGTATATGTGTGTGTATATATATATATAATGTTGTAATGTGTGTGGTCTGGTAGAGTGAACACCGCTTCAATCTTCTTCTGGTTTATTTGCTGCCACCACCTAAGCCGCCTTAGGATTTTAAAGTGATCCTCTGAGGTAAATTTTTCCCTGCCAACCCAGCTCTCCCTTAGCTCCCAAAGATGACTGTGATGTTAGGATGTTAAAGACACTAGAAT